CTTGATGACAGCCCCTGGTGCAGTGTGAAGCACTGGCTGAGGTGTAGTGTCTCAACTGTTTTCCAGGACACCTTCCAGTTAGGGAGCAGCTCACTGATTTGGCAAGGGGAAATGAACTCGACAGGGACTCCAGGTTCTAATCTGTGTGAATCATGCACCTGAAGGTAAGACTGAGTACAGTAAGTATCTGTGGTAGAAGATGAGTCTCTGAAGCCTGGTCTGGATGTGGTGAAAAGGATCCCATGAGGTGCCCTGTGCCAGCATCCCTGACACAGAGGGAAAGTTCTCATTGATTGCCAACTCAGACTGAGAGACTGCAGAGGTGTGACAATGGAGGAACCAGCTTCTCTGCTGTAGTTGGCCTCCAGCTCCATTCTGACCATCTGACCCTGGCCTGTTAGCAAACACTGATGAATTTTAAAGGCTTTGCCCAGATCTTCCCAGCAGGATGATGGCCAGGATGTGCTGTCACTGACTTCTAGAACCCTGACCATCTGATGAGTCCCAAGTGAAGCGAACAAGATCAGTCCATTTGTTCATGGAGAGAAATTTTCAGTTTGTGGGTATCACCTGGTGTCAGACTGTGTTTCTGCTGCATATCAGTGAAGGCAGGGTTGAGAAATGTTTGAGGATTCTGTTGAATTCTACAAATGAGATAGGAAAATTTTCTGAATCCTCATCTTATATTTTACTTTTTTTGAGACTGTATCTCATTATATAGCCCTTACTATTCTGACACTCTTTGTGTAGAACAAGCAACTCTCAACCTCACAGAGTATGACCCCTTTCTCTGCCTCCTGAGTGCTGGGGTTACAGATGTGGACTGCCATGCCTGGCTTCAAGTACTGTATGTATAGCATCAATAGTAAATTCCTCAAACATGTGAGGGAAAGGAGACAAGTTCTGTGCTTCTTTCATCCTGACAGGGTCAAGGATTGAACTGAAGGTACTGTCATCCAGGATGGATTACAAACAGCAGAAACATCCAAATCTAACCTATAAAATAGAGACACCTGGAGGTGAGAATTGCTGTCATGAATTCTTCTGGGGACTCAGGTCAGTGGGCTGGGGAAGGTATGCACTAGCTGATACATCCTTGGAAACAAGGCACAGAACATGCAAAGGCTACTCTCGAATCCTTTTTCACAGGATCCCCACCTGCAGTCCAGTCACAAATCCCATGACCTCAACCTGACCAACCAGGAGCGTCCAGATTGGCTACCTGGTCTGATTGATTGAGTTCTTTCCATTTGAGCC